CGTCTATTGATTCTATTTGCTAAATTTTTATTAGAAAAAAAGGAAAAAAGAGTAAGAAGAAAGGGAGAGGAAAAGAACAAACAAAAACAAAGGAACTGGCTGTATTAAGGGCTCTGTATAAGAGTGTATTTATAGTTTCCGTATCTGTATTAGCCGTTTTTCTGTCTCTTCTAAAAATTTCAGTCGTTATTGCTATCTGAAGAGTAAAAAAAATTAAATAAATAAAAAAAAGACAAAGTGAAAATTTGTTTAACTTTTTTATCTTGCTAATTTTTCTTTTTTTGTTGTTTTTTCTTTTTCATTTCGCTTTTTTACTTGCAATGCTGTATAAATTTGCAAATTGTTTTCTTTAATTGATGTGTCAAACGCTATTTTACAGCAGTTTGTAGAGTTAGCGGCAGAGGTGGCTGGGTTAGAAGGCTTGACTGCTTCTGATGATTATGGTGACGGTAACGTTGAATGTTGATGACTTACTTGACAGTTGCACAAGGAGTAAAATACTGGTCAGCTTTATTCACCGTTCTATAAATTGTGGTTAAAAAAAAAAAGGAAAAAACAAGAGGACTTTTTTTTTGGGAGAGCATCAGGAATTCCACCATCATTTTTCCAGTTTCTTTAGCGAACAAGAAAAAAAACGGTGAAGGCAATATCTTTTATTTACTTTGATGAAAAGAAACAAAAAGAAAAACTTCAAACTGCATCAATAATTTTATAGTTTGTTGATATACGGTTGTTCTATCTTTTGCTGTTTTGTACTTTGTTTATACAACGAAACAAACAGTTCAGCTGATGATATTTAAAAGTGGCGATAAATTTATTGGCGAAAAAGTTGGTGAGAAAAATTTGTGGCACAATATCAGTTTACTACTTTTTTTTGTTCAAATCTATCTGTTGTTTACCAAATATATAGTTTAAAAATGGTTATGACAAAATTTTTGTTATTAAATGTCTAGAGAAGTTATTAAATTTTTTTCTTGTGTATGCAAATTTTTCAGAATTTGTGTTTTAACGGTGAATGTATTTAACGGTGAATGTAATACATATACACATTTTTTTTTTGTTCGTTTTCTATTTATTGGTCCCATTTTTTCTTATCTAATTTTTTCTTAAACACTAATCAGTATAAAAAAAGTTTAAAGCAAAAAATAATTTATAAATTTGAAATTAAATTGAGTTTTTCTCCAGTTGAATTTATTTTTTGTTTTTATTTTTTACCAAACTTTTTTTTTTTTCGAAGTAACACAAAATTAAAAAAGAAGCGATGCACAGTTAGATAAGGAGAAAATTGACAGAATGAATTCTATAAACCTTTGTTTGACTATTAAGCAACATCTTTTTTTTTT